GAAAATTCGAGTTGATATCAACCAAGAAAAATACAAAATGGAAGATTGACTTCGGGCTATGAGGAAGAATTTTTTCTATGGAAAAATGTCTGTAACATTGCAGACATACAAAAAAGAAGAATCATCAAATGTTTATCCACCAAACATAGCAGAGCAAACTGCAGGCATGCAAATCTCTAATCCCACTCTAACAGGCTTATAAAATGTATATCCAAAAAACACTGTTTTAGCATGTGTCAAACACATTTAAGAATGACCTGACCTTTCGAATCACCTTCGAAAAGAGTCTCATAAGATTACAGTACAGCATCAAAGGCAAAAGTCAGCACTAAAGAAACTCAACACTTACTTTTAACAAGATAATCATCTTGTATATTGTATGATAAGTAGTTATTTTAGTGGAAACAAACTGTAGGTGAACTATATTACACACAGCATCCTATTGCTCGTTTAAACTATTATCACATTTTTAAACTGATCTGTGAACATTTCCTGAACACAATATTGCACTCAAAACGCAATTCTAATTCAATAAGACAACATTTCTCTGACAAGATCAGGGATTTGGATAAAATCCTTTAATGAAAGCGAAGACGTTGCAGTACCGCACAATGCTGTTGACGTTTTTTGTCTTTGAGGGACCAATTTCTATCGGAGATTCAGCGCAACGGGGGTACAACTCTCACAATTTGAGATCAGGTCATCTTGGGTAGCATGGAAGAGAAAGGCCTGTGATCTTCCGAACACCTTTCCAGACAGAGTTTCAAACATCTTCATGAAGGGGAAGAGATATCGAGGGCTTTTTAATAGGCAGATGCTACGGTAAACCAATCCAAGTCCCTGTTGTCTCTCTGTTGTATAGTTACTTCGTCCAGCCAAAAAAAGGCTCATCCACCACATTCTGCAATGATATTGATTTTCTACTTGGGCCACCTTAGTGGTGTGATAACTACAGCAGAATCAAAATAAACTTAAACAGATACTCAGATGTGAAGGACCACAGTTATTACTTTGTATCTTGCAATGCAGACAGATGGCACTCTAATCAGTATGTCATGTTAATTCCCCATGATAGATTAACTTACTGTTGAGCAAAAACTGTTTCTTTAATTGAAACCTTTTTTTTCCTCCCAGGAATCTTAACTGGGTTCATTTCTGGGGCCAGTCAATGGATATGTATGTTAACCACATTTAGCTAAAGGATCTAGCACATAATGTACCTCAGGAACGTTCTGCAGGTTTATCTAAGAAGGAGCCCTCATTCACAATGTGAGAATTTGCATATAATCGACACGAGCCAGGACAAAATTATAAGGGCCTTTTTTGTGCTCAGATGCTTCTACGCTAAAGTTCACCCGAACCTTTTCCCCTTCTGGATCCACGAGTCGTCTTCCAGCCATTTTCCTCAGCAGGCATGTGACGTTAACTGTAGAGTAAGCAGCCATGCTATGTATTTGAAGAGCCTATTAGTGCCCAATTGAGCTTGAATCAGATTTGCCCCCAGGCATCTCAACAAAACAGCATTAAACCTGCTTTCCAGTCTATCTGCCAAATAATATATCTGTTGTCATAATTATGTTTGTATTTTAATCGAAGGCCACAGACGCGACAGCAAACACAAGCAGCTAATATAATGCCTGACTATATATAGAAATTATAAAATGAGAAAACAAAAAACAAAATGTAAAATCATAAATTAAAATATAATAACATGTTTTACTGTGCAGAGAAATTGTATTCCAGCTCTACATCAGTAATACATTAAAATATCTATTATGCTTTACACTGAATCTGTTTTTAAAATATTCATTCTATTTTTGTTTCCCTAAATATTTCTTTCCAACCTGCTATTAATGTTAATTTACAATATGCACAAAAAGACATAATGAACTCCACTTCAGTAATTAGGTAATAAAAGGTAATTTTCCAAGCTAAAATATACACCAAGCGCATTTTATTTCAAGGAAAATTAAATAAAATATATTTTCATGACAAAAAAGCTAAATTTCCCATTGCATTTACACAATTGCAACAGTTACACAACCACTGAAGCAATGCTTATAATTAATGTCACACGATATTCTAGCATGTAACATACCAAACAAACCACAGTGAAAGTGATTGCAAATAAAAAATGTTACCAAATGGACATTCTCTAATGTGGATAACTATCTTAATACGATGGAGTCCCATTCTACAATTAATAGTCACAGTACAATAAAATAGCTCATATTACTTTATGCAGTAAAGACTGTATTTTATTGTGCATTAATTTTTGAAGGCTGTGTTAAAATTCATATCATTCTTTTTAGATGTGATTAAAGAAATTGTAATGCAATTTGATGATATGCCAAAAGTGAAACAAACCTTTAATTTAATGTTTTTTAAACAAAAAAAAAATCAAAAATCAGCATCAAGACTAAGGATTGGTGACACAATGTGGAGCATTTACACTTTAAAAATGCAGTGTTTCCCTTGGCATTCAACTTTATCAGCTGTATGCATTCATTTATTAATTGTTTTTAAAAATGTATCTGTTAATGATATGCACGCAATAAAAGTCAAGTTGGCGGTTTCGTGTGTTGTACTTCCGGGTCACCTGCGCATAGCGCGGCTTTGCTGAACCCGAGTCAGTGGCGGTGACACTTATTATAGGGGTTACCATAGAGACAGACCAAGGCGCTTGTGCTAAACCTAACTCTAAAAGCTAGAATTTTCCAGAATCTCCGTCTTCCAGTGAAGAAAAGAGGGTGGCATTTTACTGAAGAGTTGTTTATACCGACAACAGCAGCGAGAGCTGTGAACAATACCAGGAAAAAAAAAATAAGCTGGAACTGAATTGCCTCCAGCCTGCATATAAAATAGAAATATGGGTATTGATTGGCTGTTAGGAAAAAAATCCACCAAATTCCAGTTACATTTAGGATTTTATCCTCACAATTTCTCGGGTGGTAAAAATCGTGCAGCCTTATGAGTAAATAAGCAGTTGGATAATGTCCTCTTCTGGGGAACCTTCGGTATAGATATCTGTTATCATGATTAAGCGGGTTTTCGTTTCAGAAGGAACTGTAGTCCCTATGCAAATGGACAAAGGCTTCAAAAGTCAAGCCCGTCAAACTGCCACATGTAAATGAAAATCGGCGGACGTTATTTAAAATGCCTTTCGAGGCAGATACGAAGGAGACACTCGATCTGCTTCGAAAAGGCACATCTTTATGCTGAAATCCACCATCTGAGGATTACCTAAGCACCAAAACAAATAAATAAATAAGTAGACCTGCTCACAAAATGTTATCAAAATGTTTTTGTTTTTGGCAGCAATTAGGAACACGAAATCGGAGCGTGTATCTTTACACAAGGCCTCCTTTTCCATCACATTCCCATTAATTAGATTTGATGGCCCCTCAATATTCTGGAAAATGCGTTTAACTCTGCCTGTCTCTACCTTCCATTTATTTAAATATTTGTTGCATTTCTTGGAGTATCGACCTGATCCTTCCTACCTCCCCAGTGCCACTGGGCTTCGGTCCCATTTTTGAATACAATATATGCCCCCAAATCCTGTCCATTTGTCTCTTTTTTTTTACCGGAGATGCTACAAATGGTCCTGTTTTCTCTCCCCCCACTCCATTTCATCCTTCACCCCGCCTTGCGTACACACCCAGCCCCTGCATGGCCACAGTAACCTCACCTCATATTCTGCCATTTTCCTACGTCTAAATGCAAATTCTAACCACGAAGGCTCTTTTTGTCAACTGTTGGCACAACCATCTTTCCTCATGGAAAAAAAAGTTTGCAAAATATTAGATATTTTTGGTTCTTACCTTTCTTCTCCCTTCACACAAGCATTTCCAGGGTTTTTGTAAAATGATTTTTTTGACTAGGTTAAAATAGACAGCCTTCTTTCTTTCATATTTTAGGCATCCTTAATGGTGTATATAGTCCCGCAAAGGTAATTGCACAGGACATTAATCTCAATAAGCTCTTATAATCATTTGCCTCCAATATTACACATTGCAGAGATTTTCGAGAATGCTTGTTTACCAAACAGTTTCTGCCGAATTATCTAATTATATATTTTAAATATATTTTTTACTTGCAGTTATTTGTGACATATATCCACATGTATTTATATAATCACATATATAAATTTAACATATTAATATGCACGAATATTACATAAAATATTATAAAAGGTTAGAATTCTTTCATATAAAAATACATATATATGTGCATATTGCTGAATGACACATATATACAAATTTCTGGTGTCATTAAATTTTAAACATTTGTGATTCAGTTACTGGGAGTAAGAATAATGATTATTTTGTCATTAGTATTTCAAAATCCCTGCACACAAAATTGATCACTTTTTTAAAAATATAGCTGCACACATTTATAAAAACGGCTGTTTCTTATCAGTCTTCTGAACTTTACATTTACATCGATAAGACAGGGATATGATGGCCGTAAAGAAATGTATATGCAAATCTCCACGTAAATGGTGTGCTGCTATAAAATCATCATATGAATGGACAGAAATTAAGCTCAATAAAATCTGTAGCATATATGTGTACCTATGATACTTTGGTAAAAAAAAATCAGTTATAAGCCACTTAACAAAATGCAAAATAATAATGATAATAATAACAATTATCTCCAGTGCAATAAAAATACTACACGATTTAGCCGTAATCGATCATTGCAGCAAGCTAATGAAACGTAATATGACCTGGTGTATTAAATAAGGAGCGCGTGTAGTTGGATAAGCCCGCAGATGTGACTAGGTAAGCTAGATTTAAATGATTGCGGCGCAATTCCAGCTTTGCTCGCTCTGCTCTCCCTCACTCAGGTGACAAACGACACCGACAGTAAAATGTTGTAATTTGCAAGTCACCACTCACTATCTTCTCCCCTCGGGCAAAGGGAAATGTGTTTACAATTGCACATCGGCATAGTTAAATGTATTAACTTTGAAATGAATGAATGATATAACTCACCATTCAAGATGCTGTGGAAAAAGATAATAGCCAATATCCACATGCCCCGCTCCTTTAAATCCCCCAGCTATGCTTTTTTCTTCTTACTCTGTGCACTTTCTCCCTTAGTTTCCTTTATTTTTCTTCAGTTTTCTCAATAGCAAATGTTACAAAGCGGTTGGCTATAGGAAAATCAGTCCAGCTTTTCAGTGGCGGTGTTCGCTGTCTTTCTGTCCCCTCCTTTCTCACTCTATACTCTCCCTCCCTCCCTCCCTCTCTCTCTCTCTCTCTCTCTCTCCTCCTCTTTCTCTATATCTCTCTCTCCCTCTCTCTCTCTCTCTGCGCTTGAAGGATGTGTGTGCTTCTGTGATTGTCTTCGTTAAAGCTGTGTGATCCGACTCAACGCATCTCCAGGTTTCCTTCTCTCTCACACACACACACACACCCCCCCCTCCTCCCCTCCCCGCGCTGCACCGCTTTTCCTCTCTTTTTTTGGGATGGTTAGGAGATGCAAGACGGGAGGAGGATTGCTCGCCAGAAATTCAGCCCAGGTGTGATGCTGAGTCAGAGAAGAGGCTGGAAAGCAGGTCCATATGAAAACATACAGGTGGGGATACAGAGGAAGGAAGAAAAATCAGTAAGAACACTGAATGGATACAAAAAAAATTAAATAGTAGGAAAAATTCAAATAAAACAATTCGGCAAGTAAACAGCAGTGGATAACAAGGCAAAATAAATATTAAAGACGGTCCCAATAAGAAATGAATTCAAGTGCTGTCCGGACGATTAGCGGCAGAGATGATTCTTAGGCTCCAAACTCAGAAGCTCTTCGCCGCCTCTCAGCAAGCAGCAGGCGGCAAGCAGACGCATCTTCCCGCTGCTGTTTTAATCACACTGGTCCCTGCGCTAACCCTCTCCGCCTTGGAGCATTACAGAATAGCCCTCTCCTCCGCTTCTGCAGCCGCTTTAGTTCTTCATTGCCTTAAAGGTGCAGCGGCGCTCTCCAGTCCTGCGACACCGCGGAGGCGCTTAGACACAGTAGCAAAAATCAGCAGTTTGATATCGGACACTTAAGGGCAGTAAATAATAATAAATAAACACGTAGCCGTGTACGGGTATACTTCGTATATTTAGAATGATTTCATCGAGGCCCTGCTGTTTCGTACAAACATGTACGTTCACATGAAAACTGTGCAGCACAGTGACAGCGTAGCGAATGAATACCCGGTAAATAATTTGGCCCTTAGTTCACATGTTTGTTTTATGACCTGCAGGACATGCTGTGTTTTGTGACGCTTTAGTTCATCGATTGACCTTGACAAATCAGAGCAACGGCCTCCTATGTAGCAAGGGCACATGAAGACGATTATGTCAGCCGCCTTATAGTACCTGTACGTCTGTCGGGGAAAACCCAGCCGGCTGAATGAAATATCTAATAAAAATAATAATGACATTTAATATTATTATCGAAACAAAAATGGACGGAGTAACCGAATAACGTATTCACTGCAATCATGCAGTTATGGGAGAACATGAATTTAATGCAGACGTATAGGTCACTCTGCTGATGCACCGTGCAGTACTGCTTTGAAATATATATATATATATATATATATATATATATAT